CCTCCCCCACGCCCCGCCTCTCCCCGCCCCTCCCCACACCTCTCTCGGCCCCGCCTCCCCTCCGCGCGCGCCTACAACCCTCTCCCGAGGCATAGGGGACAGGTCGCAGGCTGCAGCCAATGGGTGCCCGTGGGCCGGGCCGGCCGAGGCCCGTTGCCTAGGCTACCCACGCGCCGTCCCGCCCCCGCTCTGGCTGCAGGAGCTGGCGAGCGCTGGAGTGCAGCTCTGCACCTGAGCGCAGCCGAGGCGGGATGAGCACCTGGAGCCTCCGGCGGAGGCCGGGCCGCACACTAGGACTCCTGCTGCTGGTCCTCCTGAGCTTCCTGGTGCTCCGCAGGTGAGACAAAGCTGCCCAGCACCTGAGGGACCCTGCACGCCCCAGCCCGGCACACTTCAGGCTCTCGCCCAGTGCAAGCTGCGCCCCTCTACTTTGCAGGGCAAAGAGCCCAGCTCTTTTTTCTTGGAGCTCTCCAACACCGGAGTCCCTCGGCGCTTGCCGATGTGCCTGGAGATCCGGCCTGGGTGACACCGGCCGCTGCCCTGAGTCCCCAGGCGTCTGTGCGTTGACTTCAGCTCCTTGGCCCTTGTGATGTGGGGCTCCCAGTGCTCTGGGAAGGCCCTGTCGGAAGTTCCCCATACCCGCCTCCCTTCCAGTTACCTCTCAAACCCCCACTTTCTCTCCCAACCAGCTGGGGTCTCTGCTCTTCGGAGGGCAGTACCCCAGCGCCGGCTGCTGCGATCTAGCGGCACTGTGCCGACCTACGTGCATCACTCCAGTGCTGATAAATAAGGAGCCTCTCCTTCTTCAGTGGTTACTAGCTCACTCCGCTCTCCCATTCACAAATTCTGTTTCTGCCAAATGGTAGGGTGCAGGGATAGAGCGATTTACCCACCACTTGAACAAGTCAAAATTTCCGGGTACTGTGCCCCAGAGGTTTTCTAAACCGGATCTATTTATAGGAGCTTGCAGCCCTCACCGTCTTTTAGGCCGATGCTTGGTACTTTCCATATTCAAAACCTCCCAGGTTTCTGGGAAGCAGACCAGCAGCAAGGAGCGTTTGGCAGTGGACCCTGTTGAGGAGGCGAGGCTGGGCCACTGGAACCAGTGACAAGAGCACACCCCGCAGCAGCTTTTCTGTCTTGCTTCTTCACTCCTCCAAACTCCTTAGGACACAGGGACATTTCTGATGGAAATAAAGGTTTTTGAGGCCATAAGAGCACATTTGGAAACTTGTTACACTTAACACCTTTTCATGATTTACAATCTTGTTTGCTTCTGAGAAGGCCAGGATGACATAAACATTGTTTGGGAAAAGAAAGGTTCTTTTCTCACCCTGGGGCCCAGAAAGCTTGGGAAGCATTTCATTTCTCCAGGTGTTAGAAGACTTTTCATGTCCTTGCTGCAGGCTGTAACATACCCCCCCCCCATTGTCTGTGCTCCGAGGCTGACGCAACTCCCTGAAGAGTCTCAGGGCAGAGGCAGCAGGGTGTCCAGGAGCTGGGGCTCCAGGGAGCTGCAGGTAACCTGCTGTGTGCCTGTTGTTGATCAGGAGGCTGTCTTGGGCCTCCCACGCAGGTCGCTTTGAGGGCTATGATATGACATAAGCCAGGAAACACACCTGAATAGGCCCCAGGAAGAGGTGTGGGCAGGAGCCTGCATGCTGTCTAACAAGACTGAAATGGGCTGTGAGCACCTGACAGCTATGAGGAAGCCTGACCTGTTGCACGTGACTTAAACATGTCCCCACCTGGGTGAGGTGGCCACCCTAGGAGTCAGGCTGGGGCCTCGTGTGTGGCCTGGGATGGCAACAGAGAATACATAGCTGTGACTCAGGCCTGGGAAGTAGGTTTGGTGTGTCCAGTCAAGCTGCAGGTGCTGCCACCCATTCTTCCTCAGTGGATGAAGCAGGCCAGAGGAGCGCTGGACCAAGTTTGGGCCACCCTGAAGGATCCTTTAGCATGTGGATCTTTTCAACTGTGTCTCTGCCGGGATGCTTTCTGCCCAGTTCCTTCGGTCTGACTTGAGCTGGACACTAGTTGTGAGTTACTCAAATAGCCCTGGAGCTGGGAGGAAGTCATAGAGTCTTTCCTTTTCCTGCCACATCTCAGCTGTGACTGGGTCGTGAACTGAGTCATAGTAGGGCTGCGTCGCACTGCCCTTGGGGAATGTCTGTGTGGCTAGTGGAAGGCAGGCCGCACCGAGCGAGCTCACAGTGCTGCTCAGCCCGGCCGTCGTCAGGATCTGCCTTCTCCTGGACTCCCGAAGGAGGTATTTGGAGGGAGCTGGGAGGCTGTCGCATCTCTTTCATCCGGACTTTTCTTTGGGTTAACTCATGGTCAGTCAGAACAATTTGGTGACATTATATCCAGGAAATAATAGGCCCGGGGGGTTTGGGGGAGAATTTATTCCCACCTTAGGTTTTTAAGCTTGAACACTGGTCTTCCTGCAATGCCACCTTTATCGAAATATACCTGTCATATCATTGTACACAGTCTTACCATATAGTTTGGTAACTTTTGATACTTAACATGTAAAGTTTAATAAGCTGCGATCCGACCACCACAATTAAGGGAGTGAGAACATCTATTCGCCCTCAACTTCTTTCCCCCTCTGCCACTCTGGCCTCCTACTCACCCCTGCTCCCCACCCTCCGGCAGCTGCTTTCTGCCACCATGTGTCGGTTTGCATTCTCAAGAGCTTTACAGAAATGCGACCTAAAGTGTGTACTCTCTGTTCTGCTGCTGCTGTTTGGCTTCCTTCACTTAGCACATCGCTTTGAGAGGCGCGTGTCAGCCTGCTTTTGAGCGGGGGGGGGGGGGCTTTCCTTGTCTTTCTCCTTCTGTTTCACGAACATGTGAACGCCTGCTTGATACGATCAAGAAATGGCTTCCAGTGTGCTTGTTTTCCTTAATATAAATGCATCACTGAGCAGTAATTCAGTCGGCTCTGCATCTTGCATAGCTGAGATTTTAGCTGGCAAAAGTGGAGAGAGAGGAAAGCCTCCGATAGGCAGCCAGCACCCTGCTCCTCAGAGACAGGTTCATTTTTCTGCGCACTCCATATCGCTCACTGCTTCCACAATGCCATTGTCTGGAACCATGACCCAGAGCTCCTTGTAGAAAAGGGGAGAACCCATCGGACTCCTCCCTGGCGAGGGTGGGGAGGCGGGCGCTGCAAGCCATCTTCTTTGATCCAAATCATAGGCTGCCTTCCGTGTTGTTTGGGCAAATTGTGCCTTCTGCCTGAGTTTCAGCGAGGTGTCAATTTTATGAGCTTTACCTGCTCCACGTCTCTACACTGCGTGAGGACTGAGTCAGTCCCTGTAATATGCAGCTTCTTCAAATGCTGGCCCTTTCATCTTCTGCTGGTGATGGCTGCAGAGTCTGCAGTGGCTCTTTCAGCAGCTCATCACCTGTCAGATGGTGACCCGGGAGAGTGGCCTGGACAGAAGCTCCTAGTGTGGCAGAGGTGAGATGTCTGAACCGCCATGTGTAGGGGAGACAGCACTAGGATTCTTACAGGATCATGGAAGCCATCTATCCAGAGAGACTAGGACTGTCTTGAAAGCTTACGTTAGAGGTGTATTTGTGACTTAAAGGTCTTGGCTCCCAAGAAGGCTGAAGTCAAAAGCTGCAGAGTCCTGGCAGAGGAAACAGCAGCAAGATGGCCCAAGCGCTGTCCCCACCCTAGGTCGAGGAAGTGGCAAATGGAATGAAAGCACTCAGTCTTTGCTGAAATGACTCAGAGTCCCATTGTATCACCTCACATGCTGCTCTGTAGAGGAATTTAGGAGATGCTGGCTTTGGCAAGCAGTTTTCAGAATAGTGCCTGAAAGGTGCCCTGGCGTCCTGGCAGTGCCTTCTGCCCTCCTTTGTCACCAGCTGCAGACAGAGCTGTAGCAGAGCTCTCTCACTGAAGGGCCTTTGCGCCTTCCTTTCCATGCAGCTCTAGCATTTGTTTAAAGCACTTGCCCAGAATATTGAGGACAATATTGAAAAAGAGTTCTCCCTGCACAAGATTTCTCTGGGGATCGAAGGGGCAGGCATTTCTTGAGGCTCTGGGAAGGATGCAGCCAGCCCTGGGCTGATATCTGCATTGGAGGCTCTTTGTTGGTTCTTTTCTTAAAATGTATTTGGTACAGGGTCTCACTACGCAGCTCGGACTTACAGCGATCATGCTGTGTTCAGCCTTCCCAGTGCTGGGATTACAGGCATGTGTCACCATGCCCGGACTGGGTGGCCAACTCAGTGCACCCAGGGGTGGGGCCAGTGTGGATGGGGTACAAGGTATCAAACCTGGTTCTTCGTTGGTTCTGCTTCAGGACTCTGTTATTCAGCAGAGTAGCAAGGTTGTGTCTTTCAGAGCAAATGGTATTGTTCTTAGAAATGTAACTTGTGAGTAGGTAATAAATGAATTTGGTGACTAATGAAAGACAAAGAGGATCTAGTGGAAAAAACCTCCCACTCCTGGCTCTGGGTACGCCAGCTCCAAGAGGTGATTGCTGATAGCTGTACCTCCTGTCCCACTTGCCCATTAGATACATAATTTATTGAAACTGTCATCTACTGCAGAGAATTTTCTGCTTGCGCTCTTTCAGCTACTAAAGTAAACAAAGTTGGGAGGAGTATTTGTTGTACCTATTTCTGTAAGCAGGACTGCTGACTGTAGCATGCATTCACTTTCAATCTTGATAGACCTTTCCAACAGTGCGCATCCCCCTTGTGTTGGGCCAGTGTAAGGGAGATTCTGAGCTCGGCTCTATAGGCTAAGGAAAGAAATTCTGTTGATTTGTATGTGGAAGGCGATGTACATTCCTTGGGACCTCTGTGAACTAACTTGTCTCTTATTTAAGCGTTAATAGGTAAGACCCATGTGAAGCCCCCCAAACCCTGCGCTGGGGATTGAGTCTGGCCTTCTGTGTGGAGTTACATTTTTGGCCCTTTAAAATGTTTTTATTTTGAGATGGTCTTGCCAAGTTATTAAGTTGCCTGAGCGAGGCTCAAAGTTGTGCCTCAGCCCTGAAAACTGCTGGGGTTACAGTTATGGGCCACTGTGCCCAGGTCAGTGGGCACACTAATCTGAAAATAGATTTTTTAAAAAATATGCTGCCTCCTGTGTTTTCCTAAATCATGAAGTCATTCCACTTGGACTTTCATAACATCTCCAAGATAGAAGCTTGTTACTGAGAGTAAAGCCCCTTTGAGGTGTCTAACAGCTTTCCACTTCTGTCTAGGCTGTCGTACAATCATTTTCTATTTATGAGTTTAGAAGTGGAATATTTCCCCGTAAGAAGATGCAGCACCACAGGATATAAGGGCAGTGATCATTATTGCTGGAATTACTGATGAGGTATGGCAGACTACACCAAAGGCAGCACACCTAGGGATGTCTTCATGAGAGTGACTCTAGATGCAGAATTCTGCTTAGTACCCCAGGGATTCTGATTCAGTTATTGACTCTCACGAAGTCTAATTTCTCTGGCAGTCTCGCTCTCCAAATTGTAGGATTGGAGTATTTCAGTCTCAGCAGACTCTCACCGTTCTTTGCACGCTTGGTGGTGTAATTTTTTAAAAAATGTATTTGATACAGGGTCTCACTGCGCAGCTTGGATTTGTAGTGATCCTCCTGTTTTCAGCCTCCCCAGCACTGGGATTCCAAGTGTGCACCACAGTGCCCAGACTTGGTGGCTGGCTCAGCATGCCTGGGGGTGGGGGTGGGGCAGAGCAGCCAGGATCCAACCCGGTCTCTGTGCTTGCCTAAGCAGGTGCTTAGTCTACTGAGCTATCTCTCCAGCCCTTGGCGGTATAGTTGGAAGGTTGAGGAAGCAACAATTCGCTCTAGGCCCAGGCTGTGCCCTTAATCTCTCTGCTTCAAAATATTCCCCTTGGCCCAATCTTTGGGCCCTGTACTGCAGCTGCAGGGAGGCGGAACTCAGTCTTCATGTCTGGCCTGGCTTCAGAGGCCAGCCCTGTTCTCACTGGGAGGACAGAGCATGGCCCATGCGGTACCCAGGCCTGGGGCACAGGGCAGGGTGGCAGCCCATGGCCTTGTAGTCTAGTGTTTTCCAGGGGTGAGAAGTCACTTCCCTGAAATGAAGCCAGGATGAAACCGAAGAGTGTAGTAGCTAAACTCCTGCTCTGAGGAAAGCAGGCACCCCTGGCTCCATCCAAGAAACTGTCACTCGGCCTAAACTGCTCCCTGAAGCAAAGCTGCTGAAGCGCCAGGTTTCTTGGGGCTTGCTTAGCTCTTGTGGCCCGAGAGTGACCTACAAGCAGAGCTCCTCCGACCCTTGCACTGGCTGAATAGAACCATCCCATCGGTATTTCCATATTATTACTGAGTTAATTGCCAGGAAATGATGGGGTTATACTTGATGGTGATTGTTAGTATTAATGATCATGATTAACATTTAATAACTATTGGCATTGTGCCTTGACCTTTGATACGTGCAGCGCTACCTAGCATCGTCCCCTCCTCCAGGGAGGGTCCTCAAGAAATCCAATGTGTATTGTGCTCGCTTTGTTACTGATTTCGTTCCTTTTATTACATTATTGCCAGTTTTGCCTAATAACTTACCAGAAAATTTCCAGGAAGGTAACAGTTGAATTTTCTAGAATTTGAAATGAGCTTACAGCTAGCTTTGTATGTTTGTGTTACTTCCTGCCTCTTGAAATGAAACGAGAAGGAATTTTCTTTACATCTAGAAAATGGTAGGATATAGACACCAGAAAAGAGACGCTTCACCCAAAGGGACAACATTCACACAGATTGAAGGAGAAGGTAGAGAGACACTTCTGAAGCTGCGACTGTGGGGACCTGATTAAAGTGTAAGTTTAGATTTAGCAGGTTTCAGATAAGGCTGAGCTCCTGCTGTCTAAAAGCAGAGGATCCAGGCGCTCTGCAGCCTGCTCTCAGTGCCTGGACAAGGTGGCCCTCACTGACCACGAGTGCTGACACGCTGTTCCTAGCAGGGGCTGCGTTGGCACAAGGGTTGTGGAGCTTCCTGCCACCTCTACGCCAGCCTTGTGGGAGAGGGAAGGGAGGCACTCAGCTCTCAGTGGAAGTTGTGATGAGGGACGTGCACTTCGTCCCAGAACTGGAGATTGTGCTGTTTTGGGTTCTGACCAGAGAATCAAGGCGACCACCATGTGGAGTGATTACCAAAGGTATTAATGTTATCTAAAAATAATGAGATTGCATGTATGAGTATTTTTACCATCAGCCCATTTTTAAGAAAATAGTCTGTCCATCCAGTTCCTGTTTGCACCAACCTGGGACAGGCAAGTAGGCATGGGGTGGCTTGGGGGTCCTTCAGGCAGGCAGGGCTGGGCAGGAGAGCAAGGTGTGCTCTTTGGAACCGGTGTGGGGGAACCATGGGAGGTGTGACAGATTTCAGACAAAGCGAGAGTGGTTGGGAGCTTGCTGGTCAGAGGCAGAACAGGGAGTTACAGGAAGGCCCCAATGGGCCCAGTGCGGGCTGTGGGGCCTTGTTTGAGTCATATGGGGCTTCGTCTGCCAGACAAAAGCTGGCAAAGCTTCCTGAAAATGGCCAGATGGCAGACGTTTTCATCTTTGTGGGTCAGTCAGTCTCTATTGCAGTTACTTCCTTGCCCCAGCAGCCACCCAGCGGTGGTGGGCGTGGCACTGGGCCAATGAAACTATTTATGAACACAGAAATGTGAAGTTCACATTGTTTTTATATATCCCACAATATTATTTTCAGCCACTTACAAAAGTGAAAACAATTCTCAGCTGGCAGGGCTCACAGAAACAGGGCAGGTGGGGCTTGGAGAAGGGCTGGAGTTGGCTGACCCTGGCCAAGGAGCAGGGTATCATAGGAAAATAGGATCTCAGTGGATAGGGTCCATTATTGTAAAAGTTTAGAAATTATACAAAGATAGCCTGTTACAAAGTCTATCACATAAAATATTACGTGCTAAAGTAAGGAAAACGGAGAGGCTGGGTTACTCCTTATTAGGGACATAAACCCACTGCGGCTGTCCACGCTCACCTAAACTTGTTTCTGATAGTGATAAACCCCTTCACTGTGCATAGCAGAGTAGCCAGCCTTTCGGCCTGTTCTGCGGAGGTTGTTAATCCTGGGACTGGTAACCCCAGAGATTCCTGCCCAGATTCTACTTCCAGATATTGTGTTTGTCTTCACTCCCCAGAGGTACTTTTTGGAAGAATTGAATCCAAAAATGTCACTTGCAAGTCACTTGGAACATAAAACTTTTGCTTCTAGGGAAAGGAAAAAGTGCTTAGGTCCCAGCCGTGCACAAATGACTGAGCAGGAGCATAGCTCTGAGGCTGCAGGGTGTTTCAAGGTTGGGGGCTGTGAGAAGCAGGAAGGGGCAGGTAAAGGAGGATTCCCTGGGCCCGTGAGTGGCCTCGGGAAATTTCCCAGTGTTGGTACTGCCTGGCAGCCGCACCCTCTCAGCCTGCTGCGCCTCTGGCTGTGGCTGTCAAGGCTCTCCAGGGAGGGCCTGAGGAGCTTCTTCTGTTGGGGATCCCTGCCGTGCACATGCCCTGTAGCATCGAACTATAAGGAAAAGGGCAGGAGGAAAGTTCCACCCAAACGAGCTCCAGCTCACCCTCTCCCATGTTCTTGTTCTCCACCCCCCACTTCCCCAAAGCACATTGCTGGAAATTTCCAGCCCTGAAGCTGCTCCTGTCAGCTCTCCCTTGTGGCCCTCCAGTGCTTAGGTGGAGAGGAAAGTGAGAATTCTAGGGTCCCAAAGTCACTCAGAGCGGCTCCCTGGGGCCAGCCTTGGAGATCCCAAGATGCGCTTATTCCTGGAGTGTGTCACACTGGGTCATCCTTAGTGGATGCTTGATCTTCAGAAGTAATTAAGACCTGGAAATTTTGTTAATGAATTGATGCTGTTTAACTTAGGTGGTCTTTCCAGGTACCTGCATCTCAAACTGGATAGCTGTGACCAGGAGGGGGCTCAGAGGTACTGTTTCTAGTAGCTGCTGCTTTAATGTTTAGAACAGCTGGCCAAGGTAGAAGCCTGTGAGCTGCTCAAGTGCCTCCTCTAGACAGCATCCTCTTCCTGGGTAGCGCTAACCCCACCTCATCCTCTCTTTTAGCACGTGTGTCTTCATGTTGAGCCTTGTGTTTGTCTTGTTCCTGACCGCGTCAGCTTGCCCTTCCCCTGCAGCCCGGTCCAGCTCTGTGAGCGATGCTGAAGGAAGACTCCTTCCAAGGTTTGGCTAAGTCAGATGGGGGAGCTTGGCTGGCCACCCCGGCACAGGCCCTCTTCGGAGAGGAAGGCAGAGGGCCTGTGAAGGAGGTGAGGAAGCCAGTCGCCTCTCCCTGCTCACAGCTTCAGGGGCTCTCAGGCTCCAAGAGGACCTTTGTCTTTCCAGGCTGGACTGGAGCACCCTGATCCCACCCTGGCTTCGACATCGGCGGCTGGGGCTGCAGGCCAAGGGCCAGGACTTTGTGCTGGAGGACACCACCTTCCGGATCTTCGGAGGCTCCATACACTATTTCCGTGTGCCCAGGGCATACTGGAGGGACCGCTTGCTCAAGATGAAAGCCTGTGGCTTGAATACCCTCACCACGTGAGTACCATGCCCATCCCCTGCTGCCAAGCCTGAGTACCAAAGTAGGGGCTCCGGGTATCTGCAGGAGGAAAAAGAAAGACAAAAGGATGAGCTAGCCCAAGGCTCTGCTTAGGTCTGCAGGGTAAGAGTCTCTCCCTCCTCCTCCTTCCAGAATAGCCTGTGGATGGGCACGAGAAGGTCTCGAGCTGATATAAGGTCTAGATCAGTGGCAAGCCTGTGCGTGCATGCTGCAGCATGCTGTCTTTTATTACTGAAAGCTCTAAAAGGCTCGCCATCACTGTTCTAGAGCAGCCAGGATAGCAGTGCTTGCGAAGAATACAGGGAGAGAAGTTAGTGGAGATGCGGAAGGAAACTCAGAAGCTATAAATGTCTGTTTATTTATGTATTTACTGTTGCAGTTTGCACACAGAAATTTATTTTGTCACCCTACTTGGGGGGAGGCTAGAAGTCCAGGCTGAAGGTGGCAACCTGTTTCCTTGGTCCTGGGCTTTCCTGCTTTTCCTATCATTGCCTGGCCTTCCTCTGCGGGCACGCATGCCACTGCTTCCACCTGGTCTTGGGAGATGGCTCCTCAGCCAAGGTTCTGAAGCAGACGATGGCGTCTTCTTCGGGGCTGCCGGCTGAGCTGCTGTCTGGCTGCAGACTCTGCGCTTCTCAGCGGACGGCCCCTTGTGCTGAGGCTCCTGCAGCCGTGGTGTGTCCATCAGCCCGTGGCTGTGGCACTCGGTGAAGTGGTGAAGATGCAAATCATTTAAAAAGTAGTTTTACTTATTTATAATCTCAATCTTTTCTTGAATTGTTAAAATCAAAATTGCCAAACCATATCTAACTGTGACTCTATCCATAAAGTGGGTTATCAGGCTAGATTACTTGGTTTTCAGGCAAAAATATGTAATGCTAGAGCAAGGAGATGGATTTCCTGGGCTGGCTTATGAGCTGGCTTTGAAGGCGATTCCTGAGGGCTAAGAAAGTTCTAAGCAACGTCAGCATTGGTATCGCTGAAGGACTGCGGGTAGGTTCAAAAAGGATTCCTCTGGCTTCAGCAGCGCTGCAGGGCTGCATTTTGCCTCAGCAAAGCGAGACAGTCTATATTTGCCTCTCTGTGGGACCTTGGGGGAGTTGGGAGCCACAAAGCCTCGCGTCCCTTCACCTGCGCATGTGCTCTGCAGGGGGGCTCAGCAGGCGGTCGGCTACAGACCCCCCCTTGAGTCCATGTTTTTTAGCAGCTTCCCATGCATCCTCACCTTCTCTTTCAAGTTCCATTTTGCTTCAAGCTTTGGACATCTGGATACTTGGGTAAAAGTAGTATTGAAACCGAGGTTCTTCCTGCCCTGCTTCTCTTGCTCTGTTATTTCTTCCCCTGAAGAGAGGCAAGAGGGCAACCTCACTGGTGGTTGTCAAGTCTGACCTTTCATGCCGTGGCTAATGCTTCACCCACATCAGGGTGGCCTTCGTCTCTTTGAGGGGGCGAGGTGCTGTTCTGCTGGGGCTTGCACCTGGTTCTCAGCAATTCTCGGACCTTCCCGATCTGTCCTTGGTTCCAGCCTGGAAGCCATTAGGAAGTGCCCCTGAAGCCATCACACTGTGCTTCAGAGCTGAAAAAAAGGGCACCTGAGAAGTGAGGCGGCGGACGACAAGCTCTTGTCTCTGCTTATCTTTTCTGCTGCAGCTATGTCCCGTGGAACCTCCATGAGCCAGAAAGAGGCAAATTCGACTTCTCCGGGAACCTCGACCTGGAGTACGTGGTGTGGCTGCTCTGTGACCTGGTCTGGGGAGAATGGCAGGGAGGTGGCTGCTGGGGTGGATTCAGGACCCCTGAAGATGTCTCATTGCTGCTTTGGGGCCCTGGGCCTGGGGCCTGGTCCTCAGGACACTGTGAGGGGCTCTGTGCCCAGGGTTCAGATGTCCCCCCAGCAGGGGTCCATCACCCTGGGCCAGGCCTGCAGCCAGAGGGTCCCCCCCACATCCTGCAATGGGATCCAGTTACCTAGTTACTGGCCTTATAAAACCTTGATGGATCAATGTATATGGTGAACATCAAGGAACACAGGCTGTCCTCAGGGCTAGCAAGGCTGCTGTTAGGGTCCAGGTCATGCTAGGATGCCCTGTACCTTGTCTGAAGCCCGCCTCCACCACAGGGGCCATGTGAATGGGTCTGATGCTGGGAGCCAGTACAAATCCAGGGTGGCAGGACTCCTTGCTCTGCTGAGGTGGGATTGACCCTCCCTCATGCCAGCCTCCCTGGTTGTAAGAGAAAGGGGACAAGGAGTGGGCAGCTGATCCTGTCAGGTATCCAGGCTCCCTCCCCAAGTGGCCTACCTGTGGACAGCCACAAGATGCCTGACTTTGTTTCCCTCCCAGGGCCTTTGTCCTGTTGGCTGCAGAGATCGGGCTGTGGGTGATTCTGCGCCCAGGCCCCTACATCTGTGCTGAGATCGACCTTGGGGGCCTGCCCAGGTGAGCCAGCCCATGAGGGCTTCCAGGGCAGCTGGATGTATCTAGATTCCAGTGCAAATACTCACCGATGTCGATTCAGTTCACTTTTAAAAGTACAGTTTCCATCTTTGTGCTCAATTTCCTTTTTAGAATGTGTGGCACCCCAAGAACCCTGAGCTCTGTTGTAGTTACTGCCCTTGCAAAACCTGGGGGGATCCACATGCGTGGCGAGCAGCAGGGGGCAGCAGGGAGGGGCTACCTTGGGGCAGTTCATGCTCTGGGCCAGCTGTGGAGCTGGGACTTGCCTTGTCTCTTTCTTGGAGACATTACTGATCAGTGTTCTCACACCCAGCATTTGGATAAAGTACAGCAGAAGCTACTAGTCTACTAGTCTGCGTTAGTGTCCGTTCTCTCTGTGCTCTCTGCTGAGCTCAGTATTTTGTGGCTGGAGGAGAGATCTGGACAGGCATTGAACTGTATCCACTCATCTGCTTATCTGCGTGGCCAGTGAGACAACAGTCTTGTAATGTGTCAGTTTTCCCAGCCTCAACCTGCACTTAGACCTAGAGGAGGGAAGGCCCGGCCTCTCTGGGCACCGTCTCTCCACAGCATGAGCAGCACGCCTGGCTTGTTCCCACTGTAACCTGCCCTTCCCTCAGAGGCTCAGCTCGGCCTCCACCTCTGCACCAGCCAGGATCACTTCTCTGGCACCGTGCCCTGGGCAAGGCTGTGAACACAGCTGGAGCTGTGCCCTCACTCCCTGAGGATTAGAGATCTAGGTGCATGGTCAGCGATTCCTGTGGGCTTAGCCAGAGTAGGGCACAGAGGGCAGCAGGGTTTAACAGTGTCAACCAAGATGCTAGGGAGCTCTGCCTCAGACCCCTACCCTGAAGGACACCTGCCTTTGCATGAGCGGGTCCCTGAGTCCCCTGTGTGAGAGAGGAACCAGGCGCGGGGGGGGGGGGCACTGAATGTGGGACTCAGGCTTGGAGACCCCCACCTCTTCTCTACTGTTCGTCAGCACTGGTCGGTGCTTGTCCAGCTCTGCTGGGGCCAGAGAAGCCTCAGATCCGCGTGTTAAGAGAACACGCTTCCTCGGGATTGTGCCCGAGAAGGACGCGCTCGGACTCCAGCCTTCGAGCTCGGCCTTGGGGCTGCGCTCCTCCAGAGTTTGTGCTTGCTGCAGAGGGACCGGGAAGTGTACATACGTGATGCCTTCCTGCCGAGTGCGGAGTCCTTCAGGGCCGTGTGGCTCCTGCGAACGCATCGGTCCCTCACTGTGCTCAGCCACTCACAGTCTGTGTTCCGCTCACTTTCCTGAGTGACCCGGAAGGTAGCATCTGTGTCCTCCAGGCCCAGGGACTCTGAACCCTGCTGGCTTTGCCCTTCTGCTAGAGCACTGGAGCGCAGACGCTGAAGGTGGAGCCCTGCGTTCTCTGCGCAGCCTCCTGAGGAGCAGCTGGGGGGGGGGGGCTGCCTGCGCTTCAGACTTCCTCCTGGGAGCTCTGAAGTCGCCTGCTTCCAGATCCCAATGCCGGTGCCCTCCCCGCCCCGCCCTTTGCCTCCAAGCTGGCTGCTCCAAGATCCTGGCATGAAGCTGAGAACAACTTACCAGGGCTTCACGGAGGCTGTGGACCTTTACTTTGATCACCTGATGTCCCGTGTGGTGCCACTCCAGGTAAGAGCACAACGCTCTCAGGTCTTTCCCTGTCCTTCTTTGGGCGTAGGACATCCTGGGTGAATTCCCAGATCAGAGGACCTGCAGTTCAACCCAAGAGCGCAACAGACTTAACCAGTGTCTCAGTTGGTGTCGGAAAGGTAGACAGGCGTGAGGACTTCCGTGTCTTTGTGCAATGCCGAGCCATGACTGCCGAGTGGACGGGGTGACTGGCAACTGAAAGCCCTCACCCGTCAGCCTCCGTGGCGCTGCGGCTCCAGGCTGCGTGTGGGCCAGGCCCTGGTTGGTTAGACTTCTTGCAGTTGTGGAGTTCCAGTTGATGACTTCGCAGGGTGCTTACCTCCGGGCCCAGAATGTGTGAGTGTCATCGGTGCTGCACGGTACCGCTTGCTACTCAAAACAAATATGTTAAAAATGACTCTTTAGGGAGAAAGTATCTAAATATTTTATGTGGTAATTGGAGGCAATAAAAATCAAGAATGGGAATAATTAACGCAGTTACTGATGTAAAACTATGAAGAGTGACACTGAGAGATTAATATATCAATAAAAAATTAGTGCATCAATAAAAATTGCTCTTGAGTTAATAGTTTGCAATGTTCAGAGCACACGTAAATCAAAGAGAACTGCCAGATTAAACGAAGGTTTTCCAGTTAAATTTGAATTTCACATACGCCAGGAATAACTTTTAAAGTAAAGATATACCCTAGATGTTGCATTAGCCATATTTACATTTTAAAAAAGTATTCATTGTTTATAGAAAAATCATTGTAAATTCAGATGTAACTGGGGGGCCTGTAGTTTTGTTTTCTAAAAGTGGCAGCTCTACTAGTGAAATAAACCAGAATCTTGGAAGTTATTGGCCTAGATTTGCAGGGAAACTAGTGGCGCTGTCTCCACAGGTGAAGAGGTAGAGTGAGGTGGAGGCGGCATGGGCACAGGAGGGCAGGTCGGGACTACCGAGCTCAGAGGCACTCTTGGGCATGGAAATGGCACCGAGAGCTTCTTTTCTGAGAGCCATTATTTTATTTTTACTATGAAAATACACGTAACACAACATTGTCCACCTTAGTGCATATGAGTATTTATTTATTTTTTATGTATTTAGTACAGGGTCTGCAGGGTCTCTCACTATGTAGGTCAGACTCATAGTGACCCTCCTGTTGTCAGCTTCCCAAAAGCTAGGATTACAGGTGTGTGCCACCACGCCCAGTCTCAGTCATCCTCTCAGCATGCCCCGGGGGTGGGGCCACATGGCAAGAATCTAACCTGGCCACTGCGCTCTGCCTAAGCAGGTGCTTTAGTCCACTGAGCTATCTGGCCCGCCTATTTTTATTCATTTATTTATTAGGTATTTAGGACAGGGTCGACAGAGTGTGATCTAGTAGTGAGACCTGAGCACCTTGTAGACCCTTCCCTAAAATTAAAAAAAAATGTACTGTGGTAAAATAGCTAGAATCGGTCATCTTGGGCTCTGGGACCATTCTGAAGTCATGCCTTGCCAGGACAGAGGGTCTGATTTCAGGCAGTGACTGAGTGACCAGTGGGCAGGAAGCCCCCACAGCCCAGCTCAGTGCCTTCCATCCCAGCAGAGGGGCCTGCGACTTGGCAGCTTCTTCCAGCGGCATTGGGCTGCACTGAGGAGGGGACGGGGCAGCTGAAGGCACCGGACGCTCCCCTCTCACATGTAGCTCTTTCTTGGTTGTGTCATCACTTGTTTGCTTAGCTCTTTGACAGGTTTCCAGAGATCCTATGACATTACGTCATCAGTTTATAGTTGTTTATCTGGCATTTCTATAGGAGAACAGAGCCTGGTGCTTCCTGTCCCACTGCCTTAATGATAACACTCTTAAACAGCAGGCCTTTGGAGACTTCCGTTTTTCAAATGGGGGATGTTGCTAGTAATTGGAGACAGGCGTGATGGATTTGGACAACATGGTTCCCAGGACTTCAGCCTCTGAACGTTCATCTCTTCTCCCTAGTACAAGCGCGGCGGGCCCATTATTGCTGTGCAGGTGGAGAATGAATACGGTTCCTACAACAGAGACCCCGCTTACATGCCTTATGTCAAGAAGGTAAGTCAGCCTGCTTGGTTCTCCATCCGTACGACGTGCAGGGCCGCGACATGTGGGTCTGAGATCCTTCTCATGCTAGCTGCTCTGTCTCCCAGCACCATTCATTAATGGCAACTTCCTCCACTGATCCAGTTCAGCCAGCTTGCAAGAGGCCTGTCAGTGTGTGCGTGGTGGGGCAGGGTCTGAGTGGTGGCGCTCACTGAGTGGTGATGTCTGAGCTGCTGCCCTGCTTCCAGCCCTGGGCTGAGGCATGACTCACTTTATCTGGGGGGTTCAAAAACATCGTTGGCCACGTACCATGCTGCAGCGTTAAAGGAGTCTGAGGCAGACCCTGGTGTGGAGCAGGGTGGGAATGGCAGCTTGAATGCAGTGAGGCACAGGGCTGCAGTGGCACAGGCTAACATTTGAACAAATGAGACCTTGAACAAATGCCTTGGTTTTTCTAAGTCTTCTTTCTGTGTTCTACACAGTAGGCTCTGAGAGAACATCTGCCCCTTCAGACTCTACTGTGTGAGGTCAGGCGGCTGAGCACAGGCCTAGGTTCCCAGTAAGTTGTCAATAAGTGACTTTGCTGGACCACTGGCCTTCAGTGTAGGGTCCTTGGAGGGTCAGCCCAGTGGGGCTGTGAGCAGGAAACACTAGTTGTTCTCTGGATGAATCTCTTTGATTGGAAGCCGGGTGGATGGCTCTGCCCTGGTGGCGCAGGCAGCATCTCTCGTACTTTCTCCCACAGATTCATTTTCCACTGGAAATTGCTTCTGCCCCTGTAAACTACAGACTCTCCTAGACCCTCACTGTCCCCCAACTTCTCACCTGCAGAAAGCTTCTGGGAAGGGCACACACTGTGTCTGGGACGGGGCCTGTGCATGCACCATGCTAGTTCAGTGTTGAAGTCAGGCCCAGCCAGTTGGGAAGAGAGCCTACCCCCAGTTTCATCCTCTTCCTTGAATTATCTGAAGTGGTCCCAGTCCAGATTGAGGCTTCCAGCGCAGCCACACCTCTTTTCTTCAGACTCCCTCTGGGGCTTCTGTAGCTGCTGTTGGTACAGTGTGCAGCAGGCGGGAGAGGAAGCAGAGCTTCTTGGGACCGCACTTTCTGCACAGGGCGCGGTGCCCAGGCGCTGTGACCCTGACGCTGCAGGGAGGCTGCTCCTGAGTGCTGTGTGGCCCTCCTGGGGGCGTTGTCCAGATGTGGACACCACCAGCATGCACGGCCTTGGGCAGACCCCTTACCTCTTACTGAACTTTAGTTTATCAGGAGCAAAATGGAGAGTATTCCCCCTTGTAGGGTGAGTCAGTGGACGGCTGCCTTGAGCTGCAACTGTGCAACCATGTTGTAGGAAGCTCTGCGGACATGACGTGTCAGAGAATGACTCACTGAATAGCCGAAAGGGTCAGTCCAGGGCTTTTGATAAAGATCTTGCCTAGCTCCTGACAAATGCTCTCCTGCTGTGTCATTCTTGAGCATTATACCCCTTGGACTTTTTCTTAATAGCATGTAAAAATTGATATTAGTGTTACTTGCCTGCTGGGTATGTATGCCTTCTCTAGTTCCAAAAGAATTCTGTTGAAATAAGCAGTCTTGTCACGTCATAGGTGTCATAAGATCTGCAGGGAAATTAGAGGAAAATCGTCCCTGCAGGGGTTTTTGATCTCAGTGTAGCCGAAGCCTCGGAGCTGAGCCTTGGCTGTGGACAGCCTCTGGGGTCAGCCCAGGTTCTCCTTAGCTCTATGAGCCACATCCATCTATACTGTTGATAGACTGTGAAGACTGACTGGACAGTGAACCAAGTGCTAAGCAGATTGCCTGCCCCTCTCTGAGGAGTAGAAATCCTTGTGGTCCCTCACTGCACACTTTGTCCTGGGCATGGGTTGTGCCTGTGGTATGTCACCGAGGCCAGCGGCTCCTGCGATGCCCTTGCTGGAGGCCAGCGGCACACTAGGCTCAGTGTGGGGAAAGACCAGCTGTCTGCTCATAGTGTGGGCAAGTGGAAAAATGTGGGTGATGTACTGGAAGCCTGACTGTCCCGCTGGAGCCCTGCAGGCAGATGCCAGGTGACAGCAGGGCAGCTGGCTCCTGAAGTCAGCCCCAACGTAGGCTGTCTGGGAACAGCAAACTGGCTAGGCCTTCAGAAGCAAGCAAGGGCTGCAGATTCCAGCGCCCTTTGCTTGCTGCAGTTGGAAGTCAGGAGTACTTGCTGAATATGGCAGGTGCAGGCAAGGCGGCCGCTGCAGGACACGCTTTCATCAGATCTGCCCTCACCGCGCTCCCGCTCCCGAGGCTGCCTTGCCCCTAGCAGTGCGCACAGACGCTCGAAGAGTGAACACTGACCACGCCTTGGTCTTTACCCCGCCCCCGCCCTTAGGCCTTGGAGGACCGAGGAATCGTAGAACTGCTTTTGACCTCAGACAACAAGGACGGCTTGCAGAAGGGAGTGGTCCGTGGAGGTACTGGACGGAGGCCGTGTGGGTGGTTTTGCTCTGTAGGCATCGCAGGTGGCACGAGGCACAGGCGGGAGGCTTTCTGCTGTCACCCTTCCCCTGCCCTGAATTGGGAGCTGTGGGCTGAAGGAGCGGAGGCTGTGTCAGTGGGGAAGAGCTGTGGCCAGCTCCGTGAGGGTCTCCCCTGCTGCCGCCCGCTCACAGGCCTCCTGTCAGAGGTTGCAGCTCCGGCCCTCCCGGGCCCAGGCCGCACGCCTCGCGTCCCTCCTCCAGGACTCCCTGCTCTGCCTCCCTGCAGCTGGGCCTGGCCTTGCATCTCCAGCCCTTGTCTTTGGAGCCCACCTGGAGTTTGGGTGTGTTTGCTCCTTGACTGCTGCCAGTGCCTTTTTTTTTTTGTCTTTTTGAGACGTTTTGCTATGCAGTTCATAGTGGCCTTGAGCTCACTCTAGCCCAGGCTGGTCTCAAACTCACAACAGTCCTCCTGCCTCAAGTGCTGGGATTGCAGGTGTGCACCACCATGCCAGGCAATGGTGATGCCTTTGAAGGTGTGGCCACAATCATCAGTCCAGGTGCCCTCGGGGAAGCGAGGTCCCATGAACGCAGAGGCTGAGCGCACTCCCAGAGCCTTCCCTTGCACGTCCTTTAACCCTCCTGGCCTTCTTGCCCTTGCTGGGAGCACAGTGGGCCCCTGTCCCCGACAGCTTTGTGCTCCCTCCAGAGGTCACTGTGGTTGTTCCCCATGGTCGCCTCAGCGGTGCGGCGTCTGCTGTAGCACCTGCTTTGCATTTGTAGCCAGGGGCTTCCGTCCCCGTGACACCCAGCAGCAGCTGACACGTAGAAGGCTCTTGTCTACCACAAATGGACAGAAGGCCAAGGGAGGCGGGCCCTGGCTGGGGTGTGGTGATGCCCAGAAGTGCTTCCTGCTGCTTCCACAGGGTGGCACTGTCCCCTCACACCTGTTCCCACAGTCTCCAGGCCTGAGTCTGGGGTGGGCTGGGCTGGCTGGTGAGGGGGAGACGTCTAGGTGCTGGTGAGCAGCCTTAGGTGGTTAAAGACCTGTGAGGATGCCCGGTCCTGTTCTCTCCACATACCTGGCCTCCCCTGCAGCCTCTATCCCTCCTGTCACCAGCTGCTGCGGAGAATACTTTTTAAGAAATTAAGAAATAAAGTAAAATAATGTGAATCCTCAGGAAGAAGTGCGGCACTGCCTGCCTCTTCCCCCCATTTCCTAGAAATGACCGTCTCTCCTTCCTTGCCTTTTGCTTCCTCTGCTTTTCTTCTTGTTCTGAGCAACACACACAGAGAAGCCTGTGTGTGCCGAGCTAGCTTTCTGCCCCTGGCTTCCTGCTCTGAAGGTGATGACTCGTCCTCAGCGCCCCCGCTCCAGGGAGCGAGCGCCGGGGCGTGTGTGCCAGACGTGGGGCAGCCTCCTGCGGCCCTGGCCCCTCTGCTTGCTTCCCCTGAAATATCCGAATCTTCCAGTGGCAAGTCAACTTGCTTTCCAATGTACTTAGTTCTAACTTCTAATGCAGTAATTATCCTGGTTGACTTAGCTTTTTCTTCCTCTGCTACCATGTGCATCCTCTTGCCTTCTTTTAAAAAACACTTTACCCAAAACCTTCACTGGTGTTCTTTTTTAGTGCCTGTGCATACCAGGTTCCATGGTGGGAGCCTGCGGGAGCCTCTGTCTGCTGCAGGCCTGCGGCACAGCTTTATCCCGAGGTGGCTGCTGTCTCCTGTGTTGGGCCTTCTTCCTGGGGTTTTGGTGGCATTATTCCATTATTTCCTAGCATGCGCTGGTGCTGCTAAAAACAGTGACATTCTGGCTCCTGATCCTTTCAAATGTCTCCTGTCCTGCCTCTTCCCTCCTCTCACTTCTCAAAGATTGGTAATTTTCTCTTTACCCCTGATGTTCTGGTATTTTGCAATCACACCTTCTACTGTGGAGCACTTTTGGCTCCGTGGCACTTCTGTGAGTTGTTGGCAGTGGCACAGTGTTGTCCTCTACTCGTGAGACGCTTGCGCAGCCATCGCGTTTCTTCCGCAATGCTTTGCCATCTTAGTCCATGGGCTTTCCAGCATTCCTGCTCTTTGTTGTTTTGTTTTTTGTTTTTTTTTCTGCTCTTAATTTATGGACGACTCTCTGCCGTTTTCTTGCTGTGTGTTCTGCCCAGGCTTACAGATGAGGGGTGTTCTCAGTGCTTGGCTCTTAACTTACTGACAGCTTTAAAAAGAGGCACTGAATGTTCCCTTGGTGTCACGGGGACGGCGAGGTAGAGGACTTAGCCACAGGATGCGTGGCCAGCCTTCAGCCGGATCTTCGCTGAGCATATGCTTCAACTTGGAAGTTAACTTATTGTGGCATAGAGAATGACTCCTCATCAAGAAATAAAACAGGAGGTTTCCTTGAAGTCAGTGTCTTCTGCTCCGTGTTTGGTGTAGGAAGCTCACGTGAGCAGGGCACACTCTCGTAGTGCACGTTGTGGCTGTAAAACCAGTTACTCAAAGGCAGATGCTTCTCGAGTGGTGGCTGCGCCAGCCCTGTGCTGACTGGTGGATCTCCGAGATCAGTTAGATGAATCTACTGCCACCAGGAGCTGTCCTGCGAAGGGCATGGGGTGGTCAGAAAGTCTTCTTGACTTTAAGACCACATTGTGTTTGTCCTTTCTCCTCTCCCTTCAGTGCTGGCCACCATCAACCTGCAGTCACAGCAGGAGCTACAGGCACTGACCACCTCCCTCCTAAATATCCAGGTAAATCTAGGCCTGTGGAAGTGGTGGGCCTGCCCCGCACAGGTGCTAGGAGTGAGAGTGCCTTGGGGGAGCCCGCCTGGGCTGCCTCCCTTCCCTCAGCCCACTTGCCACATGCCTTCCAGGGAAGCAGTGCGGAAGCTGCTCTGTGGCTCTGTGGTGTAGGTGGATGTGGTGTGCGTGAGATCTGACTCTTGAGGACCCCACAGTCCCCAAACATGCTCCAAAGAATTGAGGAGGAAGAGAAGCTTCTCCCCTTCCCATCCCACATAAGCTTCCGATCTTAGCCCGGAAGGATCCTATGGCCCTAGAAAGATTATTGTCAGGACAGGAGGAGAAAGAGAGGAGTTGTCATGGGTGTGTGGGCGCCGTCACATCAGCTGTGCAGTACAGCTCAGTCCCGTGCCAAGAGCTCTCTCCTGAGCTGGTGGTCTCCTACGAAGACAGAGCTGGGCTGGCCCATGACACAGCCCGACACCAGGACTGAGAGCCCCATCTCTCCCTCTGGCTTGCCGCGGGGTAGGAGAAATCCCTGTACGTGTTACCTGTCCTCATTGCTCCTCTGCCATACTGACCGTAGAGACAGCTGGGTTCACTTCCACTCTGTCCCACAGCCTTCAAAGCAGGGGTTGGTTTCATAAATGGAGCCTTGCATTTCAATGAGTCTAAGTGCCTCAGGCCCATCCCAGGCAGTCACCATGGCCACAGGCCCTTGTGGGGTGAGGCTCCTGTGTCCAGACAGACTTCTGCTGGAAAGATAATGGGCCTGGGTGGGGCCAGGTTGAGTCACTGGCAGAGAGGATATTTGATCATTGCTGGTGAATGAGGAAGACTCTGGTGCAGACCTGAAGTGCTAGCAAATCAGTCCTCACTCTTCCCCAGGTCATGGCAGAGCTGAGCGTGACCCTGAGAGTGAGCCTGGCCTGCTGGTGGCGGTCAGGCACCAAGGTCAGCATTCTGAAATAGTATTTCAGAGTTTTGAAATGTGAATTCAGACTGTGGCTGTTGCACCTGTACAGTACAAGGCTGAACCGTCCGGCCCTGACTTTGGGGTCCAGTTTTGCAAGTTGCTATTTAAACTAAGCTAGACCTTGAAGATGGTGCATGCTGTAGCTTCCTGACTCTTCCAGGGAAAGGCAAGCAGCAACTCTCCAGGATATGCAGCCATGGCGGGCTTTTCCCTTCCCTGGAAGAGGGTGGGTAAAGCTTGTCTTGACCCAGAAAGCAGCCAGTGCAGGGAAGGGCGTCCCAAGCAGGTGTGCGCTCTGACAAAGGTCTGCTAAGGACGGTGTGAAGGCAGAGCCGCCACCATGCCGTTGCTGGCATCCACTGCACGTGTCATTAAAATCACAAGGAGCTGCCAGGATCCACCGCCTCACTCGGGTAGCCTCTTCCATTCTACACCTCTGGGTGTGGAGGCCACATGTGGGGGACAAGCCATCCTCCTGTGGGCTCTGCTTCCACGAGTCTCTCACACGAGGGCTGCGCGGTCAGAGGAGAGGCGGGAGGCAGAGGTGCTGGGATCCCTCTGGGAGGGTGTCCTCTTTTCCTTTTCGTGTGGCCTGCCTGTCTAACTCATTTTGTGGTATCCAGGGGAATCAGCCCAAGATGGTGATGGAGTACTGGACAGGGTGGTTTGACTCATGGGGAAGCCCGCACAATATCTTGGACTCCTCTGGTGAGTGCCATGCGCTGCAGACTTCCAGTATGTATGTTGATCCCAAAGCAAGAAGGCACTTCCTGTTCTCTGCTGGCTGATGTGTGGATGCATGGCTCCTGGGGTCATCTGTGTGTAGCAGTCAGCTTTTGATATTTCAGAATTATTTGTCTTTACATTTAAAGCAAAAGGTAGGACTTCCACCTTTGCTTTTGTGTGTTTTGGTGATTAGAAAAGTGATGCGTGTGTAGTGCAGGCGTCCAGAAGCTGCAGAGAGGTGTGCGTGGGACACAGAGCGCCCGAGCTCAAGGAGTGGCGCGTGCGCTGCGGACTCTTGTTCATGCATCTCCCCCGGCAGCACTGTGTGCACGTCAGAGACATGGGCTGGCCCCACTGAGCTGGCCGCCTGCTCGTGCTCAATAAAGCCACGCACAGAAGCTTTCTGCACTGCTCAGCGTAGATTTACATTACCACCTTCACTAATGCCACACACACTGTTGATGACTCACCCGTCCCTTTTAATCCATATTTCACTGGTGGATTCTCAGAGGGCCAGTGGCTTCGGTGGATCCAGCACCATTTCAAGGAGTGCCCTTAGAGTCCAGCCTTGTGTACCTGACTTTCCAGTTCCCTCTGCTTACGGATTTTGGTGTGTGTGGTTACCACACTGCCCTCCAGAGGCTGCCAGCAACTTCAGTGTTTAGTATTGCCAATTGGGGGTATGCCAGTGTTTAGTGTGGTTAGTATTTGCCAGTCTTGCAGGTCGTTGTCCAGTTTCATTTCTTTAATTGATGTTAAGAAAATATCTATCTACTAACCATCTGTTTCTCTCCCTTCATATTTTCTTTTCACCTGTTAGTTTATTTCCAAGTGAAGGTGGGGTTAGGAAGGGGATCAGAATTGCATCTCTAGTGACAGATGAGCTCTGGTTTTGTGCATTTCACGAATGACTGCTGGGGGGCCGAGCGGGCTGGCACTAGCTGGCCCCCGCCACACAGTGTGCATGTGGCAGTTGATAGACTCAAGAGGACGGAGAACTGGGGCCAAGCTCTGGCTGAGACTGGTGCCCACTTCCCCTCCCTCTCCCCCAATCTTCTGTGCCCAGAATGTCGGTAGAGGCACAGGACAGAGCAGCCAGGGGACCTCACGGAGGGGTTGGGACTCTGGGTTCCTAGGAGCCTAGGGTGTATCTAACTGTACACCTGTCCTTCTCCCCTCTCCTGTAGAGGTTTTGGAAATGGTAACTGCCATCACCAATGCTGGCTTCTCCATCAACCTCTACATGTTCCATGGGGGCACCAATTTTGGCTTCATAAATGGGGCCATGCATTTCAATGAATATAAGTCTGACGTCACCAGCTACGGCAAGTATGATTCCCCAGGGCTGGTCCTCCCTCGTCCTCCATGCCTTTGCTGGCCTGGGCTTTTCCTGGGGAGTCCTGAGGGACAACAGGCGCCTTTGATGCATTTGCCTGTATAGTGCTCAGGGGAGAGGTGTGTTTGAGCTGTCACTCTTAACCTTGGAGGGCAGCAGGAGCTTCAGCCATGCATGCCTGTGAGCTGGTTCTTCTGCTGCAGGAGCTCTTTGGAGGCTGGGACCTAGAGGAAGGGAGGGAAGGCCTGGGTGGCTGGGACAAGAGCAGTGCCTCCTCTTCCTACTTAGACCTCTGAGAGGGTGTGATCTCCAGGCCCTTTGGATTGGGAGTCCCCAGACAGTAGAAAAAGATGCCTTGTTTACCGCCTGCAGCTACAAATCTAAGCTCATGCTGTGACTGTGGGCAGTTTTGCAATATTTCCTACCTTAGTATTTATAGTAACTGAGTGGCTCACACTAAAGGTGGCTTACCTTCCCAACTGCAGGGCTGACAACTCTGCTTCCAACCCAGTTCCTCCCGTCTCCTGCTGCCACAAACAGCTCTGGGGACAGGGATGACCATGACAGTTGCGTGGGTGTCTTGCAGACTATGATGCGGTGCTGACAGAGGCTGGCGATTACACAGCCAAGTATGGCAAGCTCCACGACTTCTTTGGCTCCCTCTCAGGTACCAGCAGGCAGTCGACACACATACCACTCAGGCTCCTGCTTCTGCTGTGAGCTGTGGAGTTACCATCCCAACCTCCCCTGCCACCCCCGCCGTGGATTAGGGAAACAGTTTTGTCCCAGTGTGCGTAGACCCCACCCTTCCCTAGGCCTTGCCTCCCAGAGAGGTTTAGGCTGTGCTGAGAACTGGCCAGGATCCAGGAGGACCCTGGGCCTGTAGCTAGGAGGCTGGAGGAGGCAGCAACCGTCTGGGTACTCAGGGATGGTACCTGTCTCTCTGTCACAGATGCCCCCCTTTCTCCCCCACCTGACCCTCTCCCCAAGATGGCCTATGAGCCAATGGCACCGTCTTTCTACCTGTCATTATGGGATGCCCTCAAGTATATGGAGGTGAGTGCATGGGTCAGGGAGCAGGAGCAGTCCTGGGGTGGGCAGGCAGGGTCCAGGAGTCCTCCAGGAGGGGTGCTGAGGAGATTAGTGGCAGTGCTGGACACTTCGAGGCTTGTTCTTCAATCCAGAACTGAGAGTGAAGCCAGCAGGCTGTTGGGCACCATGTGGGAAGGAACCAAAGAACGTGAAAGAAGGCAGGAGATTTCACTCCCCCAGCCATCTCTATCAAGACAGGGGTGGAGGCTGGCAAGGAAGGGCTGACTTTGCCCCAGGAAGAGGGCACCTCCTGGAGCCCAGTCCAGGAAGCAGTGATGTGCAGTTGAGGGTGGGTAGGAGTTAAGGTCCAGTAGACTGCAGGGCTCCATTCTTAATGATGTCTCTCTCCTCCTGTCCCTGTGCCCCATGACTTGGGCCCAGGGCTCAGTATGATAAGACATCAGAATAGAAGAAAGAAGTTAGCATCCCTGCCTCTGAGATCTCCATGTGCTTCCTCCCTCCCGAGCCACATGACTCACCTCAGAGGGCTGGGCCGAGACGTAGCCCGCTCCTGTGCCTCCCCTGTCTTCTGTCCACAGCCCATCAAGTCTGAAAAGCCCATCAACATGGAGAACCTGCCAGTAAATGATGGGAATGGACAGGCCTTTGGGTACACTCTGTATGAGACCACTATCACCTCGTCAGGTGTCCTTCATGGTTGTGTGCATGATCGGGGCCAGGTAGGAGAGTCTCTTTTGAGGCCCAGGGACTGTCTGATGACCAGGCCCACAATGTATACTTTACCCTGTTTGCTCTCAGAATCAACTGTCCCCTCCCCTTGCTCTGTGAGCCTTTGCAGCTGTGACCACAGAGTTCACTGCTCCTCCAGGCCTGGCTAGAGCACCTCTTAGGCAGGCGGGCGGGCAGGCGGGCACACAGCGCTGCCTCTGCCGCTGCCTGGGGCAGGCCTCTGTCGTCTGCCCTCCTGCTGACCAGGGCTCTGTCTGCTCCCTTTGGCAGGTATTTGTGAACACAGTGTCCATCGGATTCTTGGACTATCAAACGACAGAGATTGTTATCCCCTTGATCCAGGTTTGCTATGCTAGGGTCCTGAGTGTGGCTAGCCCTGGTGCCTCCGTGGAGGCTTGGTGGGTGTTCAAGAGGAGGATCTAGAAGCCGGGAGTCTCGGTGACCTTGAGCTGTGGGTGGAGAGGGATGGCTGTGGCTTCCTAGCCATCCAGGGGCTCTCACTCCTATTCTCAAAGCGTAGGGAACAACTGGGGTCCACATCAGGGACCTCATGGCTGCGTCATCATGTGGTTACCGCTGGCCACTGTGTTCTCGGCAGGGTTACACTGTGTTGAGGATCTTGGTGGAGAACCGTGGGCGAGTCAACTACGGGAGTAATATTGATGATCAGCGTAAAGGTGGGTCTCAGCGCAAGCCGGGAAGTGCTGCCGCTGCTCAACACTCACATGGCTGCTATTCTTCATGCAGCTGATGAGCAGGATGTGGAGGCCCATGGGGGGAGGAAGAGGCTGAGGGGGGCAGAAAAGCCCAGCTGCCTCCAGCTCTTTCCCTTTGGCCCTGCGTGTCTGCCTACATTCATGTGTGCCCACAGAAAGCCCAGAGGACACCAAGCTGGCCTCTAGTCTCCGTTAAAATCTGCTTTCTCAGGGAACCATCTGCTTGCTGAGGTGTGAGCAGCAAGAACAGGGGTTGTCAGGCATTCATTGAGGGCGTAGGACCTTTGGCTCTGCCCTGAATTTCCTTTCCTCTTCTCTGGGGAAGCCTATAGATTGTCCTTCTAGAAGGAAGAGGAAGCAGGGTACACAGTGAGCGGAATGCCTGCCTCTTCTAGGAATTTCAGCAGCCCCAATTCATTTTGCTGTTCCTGGCTTTCTGATCTTTCAAGCTGTAATTTAGCTTTTCCTTTCTTTTATGTGGTATCGAAGTGTGGGTGCTTCAAATAAAGTCTGACTAAAGGAGCTCAGGTAGGGTAGTCCTACCAGGTGAGGAAGATTGCTCACCTGCCCACTCTTCCCAAGCTCTACTCTCGTAGTGGAGGAAACATGCACACTCTTCCTACTCATATTTTCTCTTACTTTTTTTTTGCACCGCAATTGAACTCAGCACCTTGGGCTTGCCAGGCAGACACTGAAGCTGCTGAGCTATCTCCCCAGCTCCTCCTGGTCATGTTTTCATACAGAGCCTTCTGGTAGCCCACAGAGAAGCTGTGTAGCCCGACACTGGGACTGCCTCCCCAGAAGCCCTGGGAGTAGCTTCTAGCAGCATGCAGGCTGGCCTTTCCTGGGTCAGTTAGCAGTATTCCGCTAGGTCCCGGAGCCTTCTCATCTTCCTTCTGGGAGCCACCTCACTTCTGTTCTGCTGAGGTGAAAGGACCTCCTGGCCTGAGCTGTGTCACCCGTGTTTCTGTCTCAGACTTCCCACTTCATCATGTGTGTTCTGACCTCCTCTGTGAATTCTGTCCTATGTACCATAGTTCCATGTTTGAAAGTCACAGGCCGCCTGTCCAGAAATGTACACACACACACACACACACACACACACACACACACACATGCATGCACACAGACACGCATGCACACCCTGTCCCTGGCATGAACACCTGCAGCCATACAATGCCTGTGTATTCCCTGCCTGCGTGGATTTCCACTTCTGCAGCGGGGAAGCTCCACATACACAGTACTCGGGTGATCTCCAGGCCCACATAGCTTGTTCTGGCCCTGACAGGGGGATCGGCTGCTGCTCAGGGGGCACAGTTCCCCAGTGGTGGGTCCCAAGTGCTAACTTCCATGTGCTCACGATTTAAGTACTTTCAAAGTGCCTCTTTAGTCCTGGGTTGAGTCCTGGGTCTCTGGGTGAGTTCAGGTGTGTTAGCCTGGGACCTGACTGATATGCACCTTGAAGCCGCACTGTCACCGCTTAGTCATGCAGAGCTTCCCTCAGAGGGACTAGAGACATCTCACCTTGTGCAATCTCAGATCTGTCCCTGTGCTTGGGTAGATCCTTCTGCCTTCAGCCTCGGAAGTCACACTTTTGCTGGTTGTTGTCTTGTTGGCATGAATGGGAGGCTTTGTCCAAGTGCAGAATTCCCTGGGCAGCAGATCTGCTTCAGGAGGGGCCCATGCTTGAGCTTTCCTCTGGTGACGCTAGCCATAGCTGGCCAGCCACCCCTGCCATGGGCCTGCTCATGTTTCCTGGCCTCATCCCCACAGGTTTAATTGGAAATCTCTATTTGAATCACTCTCCCCTGAAAAACTTCAGAATCTACAGCCTGGATATGAAAAAGAGCTTCTTTCAGAGGTGGGGTCCTCCCCGAGTCCCTGTGGGCTTGCATCTGCTGTGTGGTGGCGCTGGGCCCCCAGTTGCCCTGTGGGTGCCAGTAGGCATGTGGATGAAAGGAGGACCAGGCACTGGGCCAGAAGAGGGCAGGGCCACACCAGAACCCTGTGCTGCTGGGAGGGAGGGAATGTGTGTGGTGCCCCTGGCCGATATTCCTGTGTCCTGCTGTGGAGGCAAGTGGTGAGGGTGTGGGGCCTTGAGGGGGGAAGGGCACATGGAACCAGTTCTGGCAAAGCCCCTACTATGCAGTCCTGCTGTGTTCTGTCCTTAGGTTCAGCACTGACAAGTGGACTACTGTCCCTGAAGCACCTACGCTCCCTGCTTTCTTCTTGGGTGTCCTGTCTGTTTTCTCTTCCCCTTCTGACACATTCCTGAAGCTGGAGGTTTGTAGGCCCCTTTCTCTGCCCTGGACCTCATCCTTCTCTTGTGCTTGGCCTGGCTGGAGCCTCTGTGGCCCCTGGGTGGCCCATCTGAAAGTGCCCCCGGGTCCTGAAGGCAGGGGAGGGCAGAAGTACCTGGCAGCACTGCTTGGGGCTGGTTCCTGTCTAGTCAGCACAGGGCACCCTGCCTGGGGCACAGAGTGACCAGGGTGAAGGGCAGAGCACACCACTTGCACACCTTGGTGCTCTCTGAAGCCAAGTGAAGAGCACAGGTTGTGGGTCTGTGTCTCTGCCTTCGCTGTGGTGCTCCCTTCCCGCCCCTTGACGTAGACTAATGCCCCACCATCCTGTTTGCAGGGTTGGGAGAAGGGGGTTGTGTTCGTCAATGGCCAGAACCTTGGACGATACTGGAACATCGGACCCCAGCAGACTCTCTACCTCCCAGGGGCCTGGCTGAATGCAGGGTCCAACCAGGTGGGAGCACCCCTGACCTTCTCTCCACTTCCCTGTGCCGGTCTTCACACCGCTCTCCTCCTGGCATCAAAATGCTGTCCTGGGAGCCTTTGGTCAGGACTGCGGGAGAGGCAGAAGTGGCAGGCAGCCTGCCTCTTCCCTTCCCTTCCAGCCCTGCCACATGACCCCCTGGCCTGGCTCCAGGACAGAGCCTACAGTCCAGCCCTCTCTGCCTCGCAGGTCATTGTTTTCGAGGAGTCCACGGCAGGTCCTGTGGTGCAGCCCACCGACACCCCCCATCTGGGAAGGAACCAGTACATTCACTGATCAGACCCCGTGCATCCTGCCTGGGCTTGCTGCCTCTGCCTCCCTGCAGGGGTGTCCTTAAGAAGCAACCTCAGGGAACCAGGGGCCACGATCGGCCCTTGATCTGAAACCCTGCATCTGGAGGTTCTGAGGAGCACGGTGGAATGGCACAGGGACCCCTGTCCCTAGAGGGCTCCTCAGCCTGGCTTTGTGGCTGGTGCTTAGTACTTCCTTGCCCTCATAGCAAAGGTCTCAGGGACAACTCTGAGGGCTGGGAGTGTTTAGTCAGATGCCAGTGATGAGTGCTGGGCCCCAGACAGGGTGCTGAAGCAGGGGCGCCACCCCGTTCTGGAGTTGAGGCCCTGTTGGTCAGTCTGCTGGACACAGGCATGCTCTCAGTGTCCAGGGCTATGGTTGCACCTCACACAGCCCCTTTCTGTTCCTGAGGCTGTAGGTTTGCTGCCATCTCTAGAGGGGAGGGAAGGAGTCGCACCTGAATTGACTTTGCTTTCTCTCCTGCACCCTTCCTGAGCTGCCTCCACTGGAGAAACAGCATCTTCTCTCTTTCATTCCTACAGTCTCTGCATCTGAGAGGATGACAGAGGATGACTAAACTTAAGAGAAACAGAAGTAACTGCCCACTCTCCTAAGTTAGAAATTATTTCAAGTTGTACTCGATGAGAAGAGTCCTTTGAAGAGAAACGTGGATCCTAGCAGAAAGCACACCCCACACCTGGACTCCAGGCAGGAAATGCAGAGGTCTAGCTGAGTGGCACTGGGCAGTGGCCTCCGGAGCATATCAGGGCAGCCAGAGGTGTACAGGTCTAGCCCAGGTGTTGTCCTTAGCTTGGTGTGTCCCCTGCCCTGGTGATGAGGTTACAGAAGGAAGGTGACCTCTTCGTGCCGCTGTCTCCATGTCCAGATTGGTGGCTTTTTCTCTCAGATTCGGTCTGATGGTTTGCTCAGGTTCATTGTCCTGAATCGCAATAAAGCAATAGAGATGAAACTTCTCCTCTTGCCAGTGTCTTTGCCTTGTCTGTGCCACTCTACGTGGGTGGAGAAGGCAGCTGGGGGCAGGCACGCATTTCTCCACTGGTGCTGGAAGATGCAGATGCCAACCACACCCAGCTGGTGCTGGTCCATACCCCTTGACTGCCTCTGACCGTGGTTCTCCTTGAAATATTACTGGGTTGGAAGGATCACTGAAAAGGAGAGGCGCTAGATCACACCACAGGGCCTGCTGGGCCACAGGCCCGGACCGCCCAAGCCCTTTTCATGCAGGAATACAAACACTCCAATCAGCCAAGAGTGCCGAGTTAGGTTGGAGGTGGGTGGTGGTGGTTTCTTCACAACTACCTCTGACATGAATTGCCTAAAACTCTTATCTTCAGTACTAGTCCAAGGCAGAGGGCACATGCCTTTTGAGCAGAGCTCTCACATGGTGTTGGGAGGGCAGAGAGCCCAACCACGGGGTCCACAGTGGGGGTGCCCTGGTGTGCAGCAGTCACGGGGGCCCAAATGTCTAGCCAGGGTAGAGAAAAGAAGCTTATTAAAGTGAAGGTTTGGACAGTGAATGGAAAGAAGGACAGGGGCATAGTCCTTAATTTTATCCAAACTCGCCAGCTTTTTCTGGGCTCACTGGAATGGCAGGCATTGAGCTAAGATGTGGCTGAGCCCAGGGTTCCTCGGGTATGGTCTGAGTCGCACAGCAGTGTCACAGCGTCACTTTATTGTGCATTACATAGGCGTGTGGTTTCTGCAAAGCTCAACCCTGCCAGGAAATGTGACAGGGGACTGAAACTTGACACCGGGCTTCTTTCCTCTGTCCATACTCACTGTGCGGGGCATACTTGCGAGACCTGTAGCTTTGACCACTGCCTTGACACTGGTATCGTCCAGTGTCCTTCCCCACCCTTGCTCTGAGTGCATGGGCAGCTGGCCTCTCACCGTCCCCTCCACATGTCTAGCAGGCCTCTGGAACAGAATCCCGATCTCCCCCATGCACCCACCCGCGCCTGTCCCATGTCAAGCAGTGGCTATTCTCTTGCGTGCCCTTGATTAGCTTTGGATCTGTGTATCCTCCTCCTAGTCCCTCGGAAGTCCTCCTGGTGCTCAGTCTTAAACACACCTGGCATTAGCCGCCTCTCTCTGCCCTGAGGCTTCTGCCCTCAGAAGGCCCACCTGGGCTACTGTAAGAACTGCCTTCCTGGTGACCCTTGCCTTCACCCTCTGTCAGCACGGGCGGCAGAATGATTCTTCTGGAAAGCAAGCTGGGTCACGCTGTGCCCTGTGCTGAACCCTCCTGTGCCTTGTCTCACCCTCCTGCAGAAACCACAAGTTTTACCCTGGCTCCACAGGGCCCACCACGTGTGCCCACCTCGTCTCCCAGCATGCCTCGGCCCTCCTCCCTTGCTCACCAGAGGCAGCCACTTGATCCTTTGTGCTGAGCTGTGGGCATGCTTAGTGCCCTCCCACCTGCAGAGAGCTCTTTTTCAGGACACTGACCCTGCGAGCTGCATGCGGGATGTGGCTGCTCTGCTCAGAACCACTGTTTTGGGGAGCCCTTTCCAGCCACCCCACACAGACCCTCAGCCTGCTCACTCTGTGCCCCACCCCCAGGACCTCTCCTTGCGGCAGATCACATCGGAAACCTTGGCATGCGTGGGCTGCATCGTGGTGCTAGAGGGTAAGCGACGTGACAAGCAAGGCTGTACTTTCCCACGGCCATGCGCTGGCTTTTAGAACAACACCTGGTCCTAGCAGGCACACTGTGAACATTCGGTGGGTGCCTCAGTCAGTAAGTGGGAATAAAAGTGCAGGGCTGGAAAGGATTCGGACTGTTAAAAATCATATTTGACTTTTAATTTTGAAAACAAATTACAGTTAAATGAAAACGGAGCAGAAGATGCAGCTGCCTGGCTCCTCACTACCCCAGCCTCTGCCGTCAGAACCCTAACCTGGCCTCACTTTGGGGCGGGCTTGCCAGACGGGGGCAGGGAGGGGCCTGGGTCTGGAGAACAGGTGGCTGTTGTGGGCCAGTTCTAATTTATAACAATCTCATCCCAACAAAGAGAAGGCTGCACTCCACCGGGGTTATAATTATAAATAAATATACATGCAGCTAAGAGAGAGGACATTAGGGAAAAACAACCAAACTAGCATCTGGGAAAAAAAAAAAATTCCCATTTTGTCATTCACTGTCAATTTCCTGAAAATGAGACCTGGGTTTTGGCTAAGAAGATGGTCTCAGGCCAGCCACTCTGACTGTGGTGTTCAGGGACAGTCTCCAGGAGTGAGGTGCAGAGTGCTCAGATGTAAATTCACTCACTGGTGGCTACCCTGTGCCCACCTGCTCCCTCTCCTGTGCCCCCTTACTTGGTGCCAAGTGGTCTGTTTCCAAGGGTAGAGGCTGGGGAAGATGTCCTGCGAGGTGGCTCTGGATCTGACTCCAGCAGGCGAGCTGGTGAGCACGGTGGACCTTGAAGTCCACTTCCAGATGAGCGACCAGTATTACGCTCTGAATATTTGGTCTCTGGCCTGATTCCCATTGTCCACCCAGGATGGTCTCAGCGGCCTGCAAACCTGTCCTGTGAGTTTTAATGGAGTAGGGGCTGTTAGCAGTTGAAAAATAAACACCTCTTCAGGGGGTTTGCGCCCTTTCCTTTTCCTCCACTTAGGAGAAAAATTGTGCTTCCAACCCTGCAGGAGCATGCGCTAGATCACACCACAGGGCCTGCTGGGCCACAGGCCCGGACCGTCTAGCGCCGCCCAGTGGGCGCAGCTGCTCGCTGCACACTGTTCTCACGGGGTGGGGTGGGGGAGAGGGCAGCTGGGCGTGAGGCAGGCTGGCTCTGCACGTTCCCAGCTTAAGGAGAAGTGAGATTTTCTTTCCTATTTTTTTAAAATATAGAATGATTTCAAAGCAATGTGTGCTCTGGGCTCCTCTCAATGTTCGCCAGAAACCTGCCCGCTTTTCTTCAATCCTGCCGCCATTCCCGCTTACACCCACACACCACGGCGGGGCCCGGAGGACCTGAGGGCTGCTCTCGCCTTCCTCTGCTTTCTGGCCCAAGGAGCTCTTGCCTGCCCACTGCTGCTCACTCCAGCCCTGAGGTCTGAAGGGTCGAAGCTCCAGGAAGTGGAGCTCTCCCCCTTCTGGGTCCTGGCCAGGCAAGCAGCTTCTCAGTCCAGATTTGTGGGAGGCAGTGTGTGGACAGTGGGGTCGTGTGGTTCTGGGTGCAGGTCGGCAGTGACCTGTGCTGGCTCTGGGCCACCTCCTTGCCAGTACTGGAGGAGAAGGCTTGAGGGAAGTGGGCAAGAGGAAGGGGTTCCACTCCCGTCGCAGCCTGAGGTACAGGCGGGGGACTTCCGGCAGGCCCAAGCTCCCCATGCAGAGCTGGCTGCCAGTGGGATCGAAGACCGCCTGCTGCTCTGTAAACATGGACCAGAAGAGCCAGAGGTATGTCTGATTTGGGAGCAGGGCTCAGGAAGAGGTGCCAAGGATGGGTGTGGGCACAGGTGGTGCCCCGGGGCTGCTCTTCGTACCCCCTGGCTGCTCAGCCTCTGTGGTCGTGGAGAGGCCTGGACGCAGCGAGGGCAGCATCCCCTTGGCTGTGGTCTTCCCTCCTCCCTCCAGTCCCACAGGGCTGCCCAGGACCTGTCAGTATGGGGAGCTAATCGAGAGTGTGCTGGATGCCAGCGCTGCTTGCAGCTGCATCCCCAGCCATGGTCTCTCAAGTCCTGGGTCGTGTCGGATGGAGAGAACAGGTCTGGGGGTTCTGTGCTTAAATTCTCTGTCTTTTGTCCTGGCATCAGGCTGGGCTCTCCGAGAGGTCCCTGGAATATCAAGGAGGTGATGGTGCTTCCTCAGGAGTCTGCCATCGAGGTCCAGCAGCTGTGGGGAGAGGACGGAGGCGGAGAACAGGGTCTGAGGCTGAGGAGGAGGCCCCTGTGGGGCAGAGAAAAAACCAGAGGGGTCAGCATGGGTAGGGTCGGAGAGGGCACAGCTGGCATGCTGGGGCTCAGTTTGGAGCCCCAGGTAGGGCCTCTGGAGTATACCCTGCCTGAGCCCTCTCTGGGGTCTTTTCAGGGACAGTGAAGAAGGTTCTCCAGTGACTACATGAGGGAGGGTGCTGGGGACAAGGGTCTGATACTGGTCATTATATGTAGCACTGGCCCAGGTGACGTCATGGGGGAGAAACAGGCAGAATGAAGCCTCCAGCTCCTGTGGGCAGGGAGGCTGAGGTATCCTGGCCGAGGACTGCTGTCCACCTACTGTCGGAGCTCCAGCCTTTGCCTGCACAACCTAGAGAAGGGAGCCATGCAATGCACTTTCATGAGGCGGGGCAAGGGCGCAGAAAAGCCCCCAGGAAGTCATGGCCCAGCCATTCGGCAGCACGGCTCACTCAGGTCACTGTTGGCTGAGAGCCACAGGGTCACTGGCAGGAGCAGGCTCGTGACAGAAGGGCATCCAGAGGGCAGAGGCAACCTCAGGACAGAAGTGCTAAGCCAGTTTGAGTGGCAGCCCCTTGCCTTGGGCTGGGACAGTCAAGTGAAGAAGGTGCTGCCATGGCAAACCCCCGCGGACTGAGCTCTGTGGGGGAGACCTGGGACCTGGTCGTTAGGCGGGTGGGCAGGAGAGGAGCTCCAGCCACACCTCCTGCTCTCTTGCTCACATTTAGCCCCGTCTTCCCACAAAGGGCAAGAGGAGGAAGGCTGAAGCAGGAGGACCACGAGTGTGAGCCCTGCCTATGCAGCATAGTGACCCAGGGACGCGGCCTCACGGTGCAGAGGGTCAGGGTGCAGCGCGCCCTCTGTCTCTCTCTCTGTCTCTGTCTCTCTGTCTCTGTCTCTCTCTCTGTCTCTCTCTCTCTCTCTCTCTCTCTCTCTCTCACACACACACACACACACAGAGCACTGAAGAGCCCCAGTACCACACCGCCTAGCTCTGGCCTGGCTCCTGCCCCCCTACCTGTATCCTGAGGCTCAGATCTCCACCGAGGGGTCAGTGAAGCCCTTCTTCCCCTCGTTCACAAGCACTGGCTTTTCTGTGCGTGTGTGCCAGACCAGGATCTGTGTCCAGAAACAGGAAACGAAGTGGGGCAGGTTCCAGACCTCACCCGACACCCCCCTGCTCCCTCCCACCCTTCAGTATTTCTCCTGCCCCTCCCTCCCTTTTTGCCCTTGTTCCATCAAGAGTTCTTGGTTGTTCTGTCTTTCTACCCGCCCCTCCTTCCTGTCATTTGTGCATGTGATGCATTCAAAGTATCTGTTGCACAGAAGAAATCTACAACTATGGAACATAGACAAGTTCCAAGATTTCCCAAGTGTTTGTACATGAGGGCATGTACGTATGCACACGTGTGTATGTGTACGCCTGCCCTGAGAGGGGCCCTACCTTGGTGCAGTTGGCTGCCTTGGGCTCCAGGTCATTGAGGGTGACGAGTTCTCGAAGCAGGCTACTTTCCTGGTAGCCTCCCTTCACGCCACGCAGTTTGAAGTAGGCCTGGCTTCGCTGCAGGATGAGCCGCAGGTTGACCGCAAATCCAGCCATGTCAATTGCAAAAGGTCTATGCGGGTCGAACACTGTCTTCCAGCCAACCACCTTCCCTGCCCCGTTCACCCGGGGGGCCTCGTAGCGAAGGCCACCAACAAAAGCAACGGGCCACACGGACACCCTTCTGGTGCTGCGCATCTACATGGGAGAAGGCAGAGTCAGGACAGCTCATCTGCTAACAGGAATGGCACCCATCTTCCACAGGGGACCAGAGAATCTGCAGCCTCGTGTCCTACCCCACTGCAAGCACCGTCCCCAGGATGGACCCCCGAAGGACCTCTATTAGGCTACCAGCAAGCCCTGGGTGGCAGACGTGGTGCTTGCCTCCAGGACATGACCCTGCTGCTGTTTGGTCCTAGACAAGACTCTTGGTCCCCCGTGAAAAGAAAATACTCGGCCCCTCCTCCAGACACGCACAGCTCCTGAAGGAGGGTGCTCAGACCGCGCCCAGGAGCAGATTCTGGTCACCACACTGAACATCCCCACTCAGAACATTCTGGACAGTGCCTCTCGGTCAGGACACTCATTGGGAGAGTGGTAACCCTACAGGCAGGCTTCACCCCTTTCCTTGGTTCTCTGCGTGTGCACAGACCCTCCCCTCAGGGACTCCCCTCTCTCCAGGCCCCTCCTGGCTGGCCAGCCCTCCTCAGCTCGCACCTCCTCGAAGAGCTCCAGGCTATAGGTGTTGTCATCATCTGCAAAATATACCACCCCAGGCTGCGTGGAGTTCCGTGGGAAGGTCTCCCGCAGCCAGCGCAGGGCCAGGTTGCGCTGCATGGTGCCCCGCGGGATGCGTGGGTCTCGGGCGTCACCACGCAGCTTGTAGTTGCGGGGCGTCTCCACGTGTAGGTGCGTGTAGTTGAGGCCCGTGTCGCGTAGCAGGCGTGCAGTCAGTGGCGTGCGGCGCGGCGCGTCCTCCACCACCAGCCAGTGCAGGTTGGGCACGTGCAGCAGCGTGTTGGCCATGCGTGTGAGCTCAGCTTTCTGCACTGGCCGGCTGTAGGTGGGTGTCACCACGTGGATGGTCGGCAGCGTGTCAGACCATGGTGGCGGCCTCGTGTACACATACTCCGTGCGCACAACCTCCACAATGTCACGGTCAGACATGCAGTACTCCCTGGGGTCTGCGCCCACAGGTGCCTCTCGCCTCGGGTCGCCGGCCTCATCTGCAGGGTTGGAGAAAAGCAGTGTGGTTATAGAAGCCCTAACCTGGTCCCTGCCAGAGATCCAGGGTGCAGGGCAGCACCCTGGGAAGGCAGCCCTGTTTTCTGTCCCAGGGTGGCATCAGAGCCCTGCCCATCTGCTGGTCACGTGAGAGCTAAGGCTAAAATTGTCCCACCGCTAGTTCAGGCAGCTGGCCACACTCCAACCTTGTATCCTCGGCTTTCGAGTGCACCAGGTTTGCCATGACAAAATTCCTGGCCCTCTCCTCCCCAGTGCCCCCAAATGTGGTAGAGCTGGCTGAACTGCACAGTGACACTGCCATGTCGGTGGGTGTCACAAGGTCAGAGCAGAGTGGTTATAGCACATAGTAACCCCCAAGGGAACCTGAAGTGAGCTGCCCCAGATTTTTCTCAGACTCTAGGCAGGTGGGGCTGCTCCGTCCTGGCATTATGTAATCGAGTCTTTGACTCTCCACACAGAACTTAATGTTGAGCTGCATCATTTGATCCCACTGGCTTTTGATTGCACTTTCTGGGGGTAACCTGCCTCTGCTTGGGGACAGCTTTAGCAGCCAAGGTTTCCTTACATATTAGACATTTTCACCTTGGGGAATCCAGCAGTCATGCTAAGAGGAGCCATGAAGGGCCCCTGCACAGATGGTGTGGCCCACGACCTGCCATCATAGCAGGGAGGCAGCAGGCAGGGGACAGACCTAGCAGCCTGGAAGCCCACGCTCAGGTCCTGCCCTTCTCTCGCAAGCTGTGTGCTCGTGAGCAAGTCGCTGAGCTTCTGGCACCTCATTTCAGGAGCTCTTAACAGCATCTACACTACTGAGTTATGCGGCGGGTGCATGAGTCAACACGCATTCTGGGCTCAGGGCGCTGCCAGGTATGGGCAGGACCACTTCCTCGTGTGTAGGATGCTAGCTGCCCTCCTTCCTCCTGGCTCCATGTGGCTAAAAGAGGGTGCCAAGAGCATGGCCACACAGAGGGCGCTGGGTTCAGCGCTTCTGTCCCACCCTCCAGCCCACCACTCTTCTGGAAGCTTGCAGGGTGCCTAGGTCACACCCTGAAGAGGAGCTGCTCTTGTGCTTAGCAGCCAGCACCCAGCTACCTGGGCAACAGGCAGGGTGCAGGGGAGAGGAGGGCTGGGATGGGGAGCAGCACAGATGCAGCTCATCAAAAGAGGCTCTCTGGAGGAACTCTGGATCAAACTGACAAGAGAACATGGTTGAAGAACGCTATATGCTCGAGATTCTGACTAGGATATAAGGTTTAATTCATCCTGCAGTCAAAAAAGGAAACAGAGGTCTGGGGAGGAGATTTATTTATTTATTTATATGTATTTTGTACAGAGTCTAAAGGGTCTCACTACACAGATCAGACTCGTAGTGATCCTCCTACTTTCAGCCTCCCAAGCACTGGAATTATAGGCGAGTGCAACCACACCCAGTCTCAATCACCATCTCACTGCGCCCTAGGGATGAGGCCTGCACAGCACGCCAGGGATCAAACCTGGTCCCTAAGCCTGCCTAAGCAGGTGCTTTAATCCACTGAGCTATCTGGTGGGCCCACTGGGGAGATTTAGAGCAGTTTGCCCACACTGTGCTGTCCAGGTCACCCCAAGAAGCACAGGTGTGTGCCGGGAAAGAGCTCATGTGCTAGGACTCAGCCTGCACCCCACCCTTCCCACTGGCCTCACTGGAAGGCCAGTTGCTGCACCTCTGAGTCCTGAAGGCCTGCTTATGACCCTCCCTCCATTCAACCGCAGGATCCACTCGCTCTATCCATCCCGGCAGGCCCTGGGGAGGCAGGGTGCAGAGCTACCACCTTCAGGCATAACACCAGCACTTAATGAAACAGCCAGGTTTCTCTGACCCTAGTTCTGCCAACGGACTCAAATGTGTAGCAGTTTAACCCCTCTGGCATGATGTACTTTCAGGATAACCATGATTCTCAACTGACAGGCACCAGTGAGAGGCGCTGAAGTCAGAAGCAGAGAAACCTTCAGGGGAGAGGCCCAAAGTACCCAGTATGGGCAGGGGGGCTGCAGCAATCCTGAGCGTGGCCTTGCCTCAAGAAAACTACAGGGACTGCAGGACTTTTGCAGGGCCTGCTGTAGAACTTCATGGAGCAGCAGTGACTGCTGCATGGATGTAGTGTGCATCTGAATCACTTGGTGACAGGAGAGTCCCAGGCCCAACTCCAGAGCTACCTTGTCTGTCACTGGGATGGGCTCAGAGCCTTCTTGTTTTTATGCTCCCATTAAGACGATGATACCCTGAGGTGGGAGCAGAGCTCAGTGATACAGCTCTTGCCTAGCATGTGTGAGGCCCCTGGTTCCATCCCCAGCATTTTATTAAAAGAAAAAGAAAAAGGAAAAGGATAGTAGACATTGTAAGGGGAGAGTTGTACTTGCTTGGTGTTCGTCCCCAAGGGTCGGCCAAATAGCTCAGCGGATTAAAACTCCTGCAAGCAGGTACAGGGGCTGGGGTTCGATCCCCAGGCCTGCTGTGCCGGCCCCACCCCCAGGGTGCACTGAGATGGCAATTGAGACTGGGTGTGGTGGTGCGCACCTGTAATCCCAGTTCTTGGGAGGCTTTGAACAGGCAGATCACTATGAGTCCGATCTAGTAGTGAGACACTGAACACCCTGTAGGCCCCCCCCCAAAAATAAAAAATATTCATCCTCCAAAGCATGGGACTAAAGGCTGAGGAGTGAGGGCAGTGAGCAGTGGGGCATGTGGAAGGTGCTGGAGGGCAGGGAGCCCTGGTATGAGAGAGAACAGCCACCTCGAGGCTCAGGACCAGGAGAAGGGGCTCAGTCCTGGTGCTACCTGGCAGGACTCTGGCCAGATCCAAGCCTCTTAAACAGGAAAAGGGGAAGCATAACACTCTCTGAAAGGTTTAAAACACAGTGCAGATACAGAGACCCTCTCTCAAAAAGTAAAGGGCTAGGGATAAAGTTCAGTGTAAAGGGCCTGGCTTTGCTCCTTACTATACAGCAGACTTCACAGCATAGCTTTTGGCTAAGATCAAGTGCATAGCTGAGTCTCTAGAATGCTGGGGACCCTGGGGTCTATCTCCAGTCTTGTAAAAATGCAGAGAACAAGAACTTCATCCCTGCTGAAGGCCGCAACCTCTCTCCCTCCTTCCCATCTGCTGCTTGTGGTCTGCTCCTTGTATGTGGTAAGACTGTACGCAAACTGCATGTGTGTGCATTGATCCTGCTTTCTAAAATTTTTCTATAATCTATGCCATGGTGTGTCAGGGCCTTGCAGACCTGAGAAGGGTGCCACTCAGGGGCACTGATTTCTAGTAACAGATGTGTTTCTGCCCAAAACACATCTCTCAAATGCAAATGAGCCAACCTAGAACCCTTGCCCCAAAGCACCACCTTCTCAAATGCAAACAACAGGCTAATCTTCCCTGCCTTGAATCTCCCCACAGCCAATACCAGATGATTAGAAACCACCTCAGGTCTGAGAACCCATGGAAATGACTCAAATGTTCTACTTCCAAGCCTGTTTGGATGCTTTCTCGGCCCTTTCCTTCCTGCAGAAGCTGCGATAGAGGCTTCGCCTGCCGCCCTCCTCCAGGTCGGCCCCCGGCTGCCCAGGGCTTGCCCTTGGGCCTGCAGAGCATGCTTCTTCTCCTTGGAAACTGAGAATAACAAATTCTTTCAAGGTCTTGCTGTGCTAAATTAAAACAAGTCCCAGGTGCATTTTAAAACCACACGTGTGGAGCTTTTTTACCAGATTCTCAGAGGGGCAGGAGACCCCAGGAGGGTAATGAGACCCGGCTGCCCTCTTAGCTGCTCAGTGCCCCACCGCTAGACGCTGTCCTCGGATCAGGGCAGCGGTGCAGGGGCAGGGCAGGCATGGCTTACCCCTGTGCACGGCGAGCAGGGGCGCAAGGGTGGTCTGGTGCCACACGGTGATGAGAAGCGTCCAGGGCAGCACGATGAGGACGATTGCGAGGATGTCCCGTCGTTTCGGCATCTCCAAGGCTGGCTGCACCCACAGCTCCTCATTACCTGAGTGGCAGTAAGGTCAGGAGAGGGGTGGCCACAGGGCAGCGGCAGCAAAGGGGAGAAAAGAACAGGCACGGGCCGCCGGCCAGGCATGCAGAGGACAGGGAAGCCGAGCGCGGGCCAGCAGGTCTTACCAGCGCTCACAACCCACCCATTGCGGAAGCAGGGCTGGAGAATCCTGGCCGAGGAGTCTGACGGGTGGTTCTGCAGGGCAGGGTCAGGAGCCCTCCGAAGTGGACACCTGCAAGAGAGTAGCACGGGATGGCAGAGACCTGGGCACGGGCCCTGGCTTCCACAGACTCCTGCTGCCATTTCCCTCTGCCCGCCTGGGTGGATGGGCTGTGCCTCTGTCACTGGTCCCAGGTGGAGCAATGCCATACTCCAGAGACAGCTGCCTGGTTGCTGGTCCTTCTGCCCACGAGCTGCTCGGCTTTTGCCAGGTGCCACAGTTTTCTCATCCTTAAAGTTGGGCCCCTACTTGCCAAGGTTGTTCTCAGAGTTAAACATTGCCAGTTGCCCCTGTTATCAGTGCATGAGAAACCAAGCTACTCTGATGTCCTGGGGGACCTTTCAAGGCCTGGGGAGTGGGTTGGGATGGGAACCCCTCCTTTAAGGGGAAGGAGGGTGTACCAGGCCCTGGGAGGAACCAGTACAAGTCCTTGCCCCCACCACGGTCTATGGGAAATTCTTGGGGAAATCTGACTGGGGCTGGGTAGCAACAGGAATGGGGGTACCCCTGCAGCTGCTAGGCCTTTGGAAGACACTTCTCGGAAATAGCAGATGCAGAGCCCCAGAAAAGGCACTCTGGCAGGGAGAATGTGCCACTCGAATGTGCTCAGTTCGGCTGGCAGCCACCCGCTCCAGGACTTACATTTCTGGTGGCAAGGAGGCTAAGTGTAGCGAGGCCACGGCCACTTGCCACTTGTCACATCCCCTTCCTCTCTTGCCCTCATGTCCAAGCTGAGCTATGCAGCTGCAGCTGGGGTCTGCTGGGTGGGAGAGAAGGCAGCCGAGGGCGCCCGGCCAGCCCTTGAAGCACTGCCACCCACAGTGCCCAGCGGCTCCAGCCCCAGCCTGCACAGGCTCGTCTCCAGCCCAGTGGAGAGGCATGCCCGCAAAGAGCTTCTGTCCTCCTCCTCTCAGTCTCCGTTGGTTCTGAGGCTAGCTGGAAGATCCAGGTCTGCCTCCCAGTATACAGAGAGCCCGTCCTCCCTGGTCCTTGTCTCGGGGCCCAAGAAATTTATATTTGTAATGCCACAGAAAGTTATTAGGATTCTAGTGAATTCCAATCTACCACACTCAGTGCAATCCACGGTGGGAATAAAGACACCAAGGCGTATTTGTAGTTATGGGGAGCCGAGGGGTCCTAAGCGCAGCTATGATGGTGGCAGTCCGAACAAAGACCTCAACCCAGGGCCAAAGCCAGGTCTTTATAATTCGTGGAGAAAAGAGTGGCTTGAGCATGAGTGAGTGAGAGTGGTGGGGAGCGGGTGAGTGCTATCAGCTGGGCTAGGTGCGAGGCCTGAGATCACCTCTGTACTCTGCAGAGGGAATAATCTGCATAATACAACTGAGAGGATCTAGTGTGTTAAGGCTGGTGGTGCAGCTCTGATGTGTGATCTTCCAAGCCCCAGGGAGTCGTAGCCTCTCTCTCAAGGCTCAGGCCCAGCCTGCAGAGTGAAGCACTGGCTCTTTGTCCTGTCTTGTCTGGGCTCACACAAGAGAGCAGCAGGTGGGGCTTCCAGGGAAGCACGCCGGCAGTCAGCACCTTAGCGAGGCCCATACGCATTGCACAGAGCCAGCTGAAGAGATAAGGACAACGTCCTAGCCCGCTCTGTACAATAGGGTCAAACTCAGCCAAAATGGGGACAACTGCCTCGCTTTTAAGGGGAGTCCGCCCAGTGCTCCTGCATACCAGGGCACAGCAGAGTTGCTTTGCCTGCCCGCCCTTCCCACCAAAGGCCCAGTGCCTCCTGTCTGCGGACAGATGTGGCAGGCACCCTTCATTCCCTAGGGTGGAGGGCACAAGGGGCTGTCATGGACAGCGCTAGGAGGGACCCTCCACAAGGGGGGCTGCTGCTCTGCCTGGATGCGGCGTCTCCTGGCCTGGCATGGCAAGTGACACGGCCCGGCACCCACACCAAGCTCATGAGGGTCCTGTGTGAGGCACAGTGACCTCATGCCACACCCTCTGGATAAAGGTCCTGCCCCTCTCGCCCAGGCCACTGGCAGGCTGCACAGGGCCTGTGTCAAGGCTACATCCTGGCTGGCATGATTTTAGGGCACATCTTATGAAGTGCTACAGTCTGGGTCTTGGTTGTCTCCTCTGCAACTGTTTTGGAAGCTGAAAGTTGTTGTGACAATGCCCACAGAGGCACTGTAGAGAAAAGATTTGGTCATTCAGAGGGCTGGTGCCACTTTCCCAGGAGTAGGTTTATTCTCTCCAGAGCAGGATGTCATAAGGCAAGGCATACCTCCTGTGCCATCTGCTCTCGGCCTGCTTCCTGCTCCTCTGCTTTTTGCCATGGCCTGGAGCAGCACAAAGCCTGTCCTGGTGCCTGGTCTTGGGCTTCACCCTCCAGAACTCTGAGCCAAAGGTACATCTTTCTTCTGTTTACTACCGCAGATCAGCTGTCTGTTATAGCAGCAGCATGTACTGTGACAGGAAGGCTGTGCCTGTCTGGGCCTTCTCAAATATCTAGGAAGAAGCTGGGTGCACACCTGTAATCCCAGCACTTGGGAGGCTGAAGCAAGAGGATTGTTGTGAGTTTGAGACCAGCCTGGG